ATTGTGACCACCGTTCCTTCTTCTACAGGTTGACCGAAGCAAAATACCAAATCGCGACGCGAGCCGAAGGAGCCGCCGCACTAGAGAGCCCCGCCGTTGGTAAGTTTCAATTTTCAATATTTTTTTGGGCCCACCGAGGGCCCTAGGAGTGTTTTCTCACAGGAACCAATGCAAGTTTGGCTAAATTCAGCTGAAAACGGCCAGAAACAACTAACCCGAGGAGGATCATTGCCGCTTGCGACGGCGCCGTCACCGGAGCACGACGGAGCCTCCGTGCTGGAATTTCAAAATTGGCCGAATAGGCCTTGGGTATGATTTTTGAGTTATTTGGGACGTGTAGGTATCGTCAGTTCCTGAAAAAAAAATCAGGAAATCCAAGGACTACCCCTAGGCGCAATGAAAATCCGATTTTCGACGTCGAATTAGGTAAGGATCCCTCACTCTATTTCCTATCACATGATTAAAGTCTAATAAATGATAAAACTGTATTTTGTATAAATTAAGTAGATGTGCATAATTAATTCTAGTTGCTAATGGAGCCCGAACTGGACATATTTCTCTGTCAGTTTCTGTTAATTTATTTTACAGTTTAGATGCATTATGGGATCTGTTTTATTTATTTTATGATTTTGAATACATGAATCACTGTTTACTTCACTGCTGCTTGATTTTGTGAATCTAAGATATGCTTGCCTTGTTGGATGTACGTTACTTCATTAAGTATTCATGTTTGAATGGGCAACGGAAAACTAAGAAAAAAAAATAGGAAAGGGGTGTGAATTGATAAATGGATAAGTTGACAGCCTCACTAGATATTCTAGAAGATGATGGACGGACCGGGTCCATAGGGAACCCTATCGGGAACGTTGTCTCATACCGAACGGGGTATGGAGACTTTAAATGTTTTGGCGCTCATACCAGACGGGGTATTGAGGTTTATTGTTTGACGCCCATACCAGACGGGGTATGGGGACGGCCTTGGAAATTAAGTTTGTTAATGGAATGGTTCACGTATAGTAGGGACCCCTATGGATCCCCATAGATACTAGTAGGCTGATGAAAAAGAGATAACTGTTGTTTGATGACTGAAATATAAAAGTATGATATGCGCTATGTTACAGATTATGTGTGAATTCATGATATCTATGATGTTATTATTTTCATGGGTCGTTTTTATAAATCCCACTGAGGTAAGTGGACGGTAACTGGTTTGATTATTGATAAATGAATTTATTCAAATTTGTGCTCCATTGGTTGTTTTTGATTTTATACCAACCTTTACTTCTGTGACAGTGATAAAGTGTTATGTTTTTACTGGGCTAGTGTAGCTCATTTCTTACTTAACCATTTTAGATCAGGAGGACTTAGTTCCCGAGCCCGATCCACAAGAAGATAGCGAGTAGATGCCAAGATGTTTATTAGTTTCCTTATAGTTTTTTATTTCTAGTATTTCCTTTAGAGAACTTATTTTTTGATATTGTTAGTACGTTTAAGTTATTGTGTAAGGGATATTAATCAGAACCTTTTATTTCGCTTCCACACTCATATTCTTTATATACATTTCCTTTTAAATTTCTAGGGCCGTTACACATAGGGCAACTCTACCATGGACGTTACTCTCAGTCGAACGGAGCTGAGAAGTCTTATACCGGAAGGGGTTAGGAAGTATTTTGATCACACTTATACCGAACGGGATATTGAAGTGGTGGTTCATTTGGCACTTATTACCAGACGAAGTATGGAGACGACCAATTGATTAATATAATGAATATTGGGTCCACGTGTAGTTGGGACCCCTATGGACCCCTAGCGACATTGGTAAGTAAGTAAATAAATAAAGTTGATTACTGTTGGTATCTTTAAATAGATGATGTGTGTTACTATTCCATTTTTTTTCCTTCATAAATGGTATCCAGGAACTTAAAGGCGAGTATGAATAAATGTTTTAAGACTAAATGAATTTACTTAAAAAGAAAAAATGGTTCCACTGATTATTTTACGATTTCTACTAATATTTGATTTTTCGTATCGATAGTATGTGCTGATAATTTTATTGAGTTAGTATAGCTCATCTCTTTATTATTAACTATTTCAAATCAAAACAACCAAGATTCTGATCTTGAGCAATAAGAGAGTTAGCAAAATAAAGGTTGCCTCCCTTTTTCTTTTTATCAGAGTTGTGCAACAGAGATCGACCACATAGATTTCTAGTTTATATTTTTTTTTCTTTTATGTTGATTTTTTAAAAAAAATATTCTCGTATTTCTATTGAACATTCAAATTAAACTGTGCAAGAAATGTAAAATCGAAATTCTGAATTGTTTGCGTAAACTTATAAATTTTAATATTATTATTTAGCATAAATGTTTGCGCCTTTACATGTTCAAATTACAATCATGACCGAGGTTATAATCAATTATAATTAAATATTATTTGGTCTGATTTTTGGGTCAACTACAAAAAGGCTAAAAAAATTAATATTTTTTATGTTAAAATTAAAATAAATTGATTTACGTTAAAATGCAAAAATATAAGATATAATTTAAATTTAAATTTTATTAATTTATTAATTTAAAATATAAAAAAAGCTTTTTGTTTTATTTTGGTGCAAATCTCACTTTTAATTGATTTTTAGTTCCGTATAATTATGAACCATTGAATTTATAAATAAATTTAAAAATAAATAAATAAACACGTGCATATTATATTTATTTCATCTATTTGAACATGTTTATTTATTTATTTTTAAAGAACTTATAAATTTCATAAACTTATGGCCATAAAAAATTTATAAACTAAGAACAAAAAAAAAAATTGGCTTCTTATTTTAAGTAGATTAACTTCTAATTTTTTTTTATTATTTAGGATATTTAATTTAGCCAATTACCTTTGTTCTTTTGTTTGAATCAAATAAATTTTTGTTTTAAATATTAAAATAATAAACTATATATGGGTCAAATTACAACTACTTTAGTTAAAAAAATTAGTTACAAAAAAATATATTAATAAATTAAATTATAAGTTATTGAATTAAATATTATAAATCAATCATCACAAATTGATGAACTTAAATTTTATATTTTAGTAAAATTTAAATTTGTGAACTTAATATTAATAACTTAATTATTAAGATGATCAAACTAATAAATTGATCCCTTTACTATTTTTTTTTTATAATTTTAATATGTGTACTTTAAAAAAAGACTATGATCTAGTTCATAATAATTAATACATACTCCCAATGTGAGTGAAAGTGTCATGTTTATCTAGATTAGAAAATGTGTCAAATTTTAGTTAAATCAATTTTTATGTCAAATATCATATTTGATAATATAATATTTTATTTTATTTTTCAAAAATAATATAGAAACAAAATAACTTATCTTGCCGGAAACATCTTCCCCTAGACTTACGACATAGTTATTGTAGAAGTAGTTATCTAAAATTCGGTGTGTAAAAAATTATTTTAAAAAGTAAAAATAAAAAATAAAAAAAAACACTTTAACTTGAAAAAAAAAAAAAAACGTCCTTATGACGTGGCTGTTGTAGAAGTCATTTTTTGTGGTGGTTTCGAACTTATAATTTTTTTAAAAATTTTACTAAAAATATTAAAACAATTAAAGTTTCTGCATCAAATATTATCGTATTAAATGTACTATTTGATATGGATATTGAATAATCTAAAATATAATAATATAATATAAATTTATAGCATTTTTAATAATTATATTTATTAATTAAATTCATAGCATTTTTAAAGATACTAGACAGTTGGTGATGCGGTTGGATCAAATAAATTGGGAACTAAAAAGTAGCTGCCAACTGGTCACTGTACGAACTGCAGGAAAAAAAACCGTTCCATGTTCAATTAAAACTCATACATATCTTGCTTGCACTCATCGTTACGTCGGTTCTTATTTTAAGTTTCCTTCGCTCTCAGCTCTTTTCTCTCTCCGATATATATATATATATATATATATATGCTCCCATCAAACTGCGGCTTCTCTCCTCTTTTCTCTGTGTTTCTCGCACTTTATCTGCCAGGATTTATCGACAATCTCCACTAGTTTTATTTCAATCTTCATTCTCACTCTATCGAATGGGCATCATTGTTTTTTGATGTCAAAATAATTATTTTATGAGAGTAATATGAAAAACGGAGTTTGCTCGTCAGAGTCAATTAATGGAAGTCGCGATGTGTGGAGTTGTAAAGACTCTGATTCATCCTCAGCTGATCATCTCGTTATCATGGTCCACGGAATCCTTGGGAGGTCAGGATTTTATTCTTCTCCGTTTCAAAATATCTTCTTCGATCAGGTTTTCAAGCAAAGTTTGATTTTTTATTTGGTGCTCTGGATTGAAATTAGGTATTTTGCTTTGGTTACTTGTTGTCTGAATATGATTTAGTTCATCTTTTTGGTGTGCGTGTTTTCAAATTTCAAATTCCAATTGACATGGAAATTTTTATTTGTGAATTTAAAGCGTACTATAACCTTCTCTTTACTTCATCTTCAATTTTGATTAGAATTTGATGCTAACTGTTCAAGCCGGAATTTGTTTCTAATTCTCAGTGAATTTGGCGTCGGACTTTATGTTTCGTTTCTTAAAGTACTTACCGATAATTGCTTTGGTTATGTTCCTTTTTCGAACAGATTATGTACGATAATCAGTTAAATTAATGGAATTTCCTCTACGGTTAAATGATGCAATGAGACTTTGACTGATTCTCATCTACATATGTTCTGTACTTTGCTTCTGCAGTGCAACGGATTGGAAGTTTGCTGCTGAGCAGTTCGTCAGAATGCTACCCGACAGAGTGTTCGTTCATTGTAAGGGGGTTCATTATTGTTATAATATGCCTATTCCTATAAAGCAAAAATATAAAGTAAAAAAGGAAGGGAAGAAAATGCAACTTACTTTTAGTTCTAAGCCTTTGTGCTTTCCCAGTTTATCAAATAGTAATATATAGTTTGGTGATGCATCAGTTGAGCGTTAATGGCATAATTCCATTGTCTATCCAATAACATACGAGGACCCTTAAATGAATCTTCCCCATTTGACCACTCTGGTTTGCCTTATTGTCACAATTCTGATAATATGGGAGTTGAAGCTAATGCGATAGTTCATCTTAAGATAGGCTCTATTAAGTGTTCTTAGGGTTCAGGATCTGGGATTAATTAGTATCTTTTATGTTAGTCCAAAGAAAGCTTTTTCCTTAAGCGGGTCAAAGTGGAATTTTGATTATCATGATTTTATGTGGCTAACAGGAAAATATTTTCCTCATTCTTATTGTTTGAGCATTGATTCATCTACTTCACAGGCAGCGAGCGAAATATGTCTAGGCTCACTTTGGATGGTGTGGATGTAATGGGTGAGAGATTGGCTGAAGAGGTTGGTGCGTAGTTTATATTATATATTTGAATTAGACTAGTGAACTTGCCTGATGTCTTGAAACTGTTTAGCTCTTTGTTTCATACATGATCCATCTGTTGAATACTTTACCTTGTAAAAACAACTGAATTTTAGGTCCTTGAAGTGATTCAGAGAAGACCAAATGTCCGTAGGATCTCCTTTGTTGCGCATTCTGTTGGAGGACTTGTGGCAAGGTATGCAATTGGGAGATTATATAGACCACCCAAAAGAGAGAAAATAGAGAATTCATCAACTAACAAATGCGAAGAAGATACAAAAGGTACACTATGTGGCTTGGAGGCCATGAACTTCATCACTGTTGCTACCCCTCACCTTGGTTCCAGGGGTAATAAGCAGGTATTAGCCTCAAAAACTATTGCCATCATGCGGGATAAATTTCTTTTACTTTTATGATTCTTTGCAAGTTGTCAAACCTTGATAGCAGTTGCATTGTGGGATTTTATTATTTCTATTTCCAGATTAGAAGTCTTATAGTCAGCTCAAGATAGGGACCATGGATTTTGATTGAGTACTTAACATTGCTGTTCATCTAAAACTAGGCCTTCTTTTGTAGGTACCTTTCCTCTTTGGCGTAACTGCCTTTGAGAAGGCTGCAAGTTGTGTTATTCATTGGATATTCAGGAGAACAGGTCGACATCTTTTTCTTACTGATGAAGATGAGGGAAAACCTCCACTTCTTCGACGCATGTTGGAAGATTACAACGATTGTCATTTTCTGTATGGTCGTTTCTTTCCTGTTATAAGTATCACTTCCCAGTATGGGGGTTTCTTCAGATGTCTTTAAGTTATCCGAATTTGTTAAATTGATTGAACATAGCCAACATATTTTTGCAGGTCTGCACTGCGTGGCTTCAAACGTCGAGTTGTATATTCAAACGTGGGCTATGACCGTATCCTGTTTCATGACTAAATAGCTTTTGTTGATGTATATGTAATCATTGTTGTCGAGTTTTTCTTTCACTTTCTTTTATTATTATTATTATTGTTCTTACTACTAATATTATTATTGAAGAAGTTCAATGTTTTCCATTACTGAATACTGAATAGATATTGTGGGTTGGAGAACATCATCAATTAGACGAGATAATGAGTTGCCAAAGGTAGTTAATTAGCTTGAGTTTATCAATTTAATTTTACGTTTTGACTTGCCTTTTGATCTTGGTGACTGATACATCTTTGTCTACTAGTGGGAGGATTCTCTCAATGAAAAATATCCACATATCGTTTATGAAGAACACTGCAAGGGCTATGAGGCAGTGGAATGTGAGACTATTTCAACTGAAGATGATGGTTCTGACAAGATAGAAGGTTTGCAAGTTGTAACTTGAAATTTTGATCAAAGAGGAAATATGTGTTTGGCTGGTTTCATTTATGCTAGGACAGGTTATGTAGTTTTGTTTTCTTCTGTTAGCCTTTTTTAGCCTATTGTTTTCCAGGTTGCTAATTGATAAGGTAAAATTTTATACCGTTCCATTGACCCGAAAATTTCATTCTGCTCTTGATGAGTTCAAATTGAGCAACTCCTAAAAGTTTGATGGATTTTATATAATTATTTTCCAGTCTGTTTTGTTTGTCTCTTTCTTCTTTTGTTTCCTCAATTTACTTTCTGTTGCTCTGACATAATGGTTTTTTTTTTTTGTAGAGGAGCTGGTGAAAGGTCTCTCCTGTGTTTCATGGGAAAAAATAGATGTTAGCTTTCACAGCAGCAGGCAAAGGTTTGCTGCTCATAGTGTTATCCAGGTCTCTTTCTCTCTCTCTCTCTGTATCATAATTTCTGAACATTAAAATGGTAGTTTAGTGCATTAGTGCTATCAGAAGAAATGGTAACTGTCAATCTTTCTGCTGTATACATTATCAGTAATAGTGCATTAAAGTTATACTTCAACGTTCTTTTCTCTTTTTTGAAAATTGAAGTGGGTTAAGGAGATACTCAGGCTTTCCTGCAGATTATGTGCCCTTAATTTGTAGAAGACACAAGCAAACATTTTGTTGTTTGTGTGAAAGAGTTAATCCGTTGTGTCAAAAAAACAGTGCTGTTGTTTGAATCTAATTGCATGTTGGGACTTAAAAGGATCATTAATTTGAAGTTGGAGAACTGATTCTTTGGTGATTGAATGCTCTGATTTTAAGGATATTGGCATAAATTATTACTCGGAAAATTCTGTCAAACCCATGCTGGGCCTGTTTTGCAGGTAAAAGATCAAATAATGCATATAGAAGGCGCAGATGTTATAAACCATATGATAGATCATTTTCTTACTTGAATCACAAGAGGATGCAATTTTATTTCCGGTAAGCTTGCTGCTGAATATGCTGTTAAGTCTGAATTTTATTATGTTGTTTGTGGACTAAACATGTTCTGCAAACATTCATGTTGTTGCAGGTTTTTATCTGATCAATTCTTGTAAGGATATTTTGAAGTTGTGAATCTACGGAAACAGTGATTTAATCCGATTCATTTGTATATTATATTCATAATAGTGTCGTAAGGAAATATAAACAGTTTTCACTTATAGCTGTTGCTGTCAAATTTTTTGGAGTGAATTACAAAAGCATGACTGGAGTATGCTGAATATAAAAGCAGGAATTCACTTTGAAAATACAGAAACTAAAGATATTTTCTGAATTGCAGGTTTTCATCCTTCCTTTCTTCCTTGTGTTTCACTGTAAATTTTCTAAATACATTCAAAATTTTTAAAATTAAAAATAAACAATTAATTAAAGTTTAAAAATACAATAATTTAAAAAATAGAATTAGTGTAATTTTGATTCATTATTTCTCAGTTATGAATCAATGTTACAACTTCTTCTATAGTTGCATTTACAAAATAACTATAGTAATAAATCTGTCATGTAATGACTATAACACTTGTCTACATATTTCTGTCTTATATGGTGAACTAAATTTGTCCTTGTATGTAGAGAAATATAGATTTAAGAACCAATTATATTGTGTTATAGATTTATTTTTACACAAAATAAAATTTTATGTAGTTCATTTTAAAAGTACATTTAAAAATTCTCATGGAAGAAATAAAAATTGATCTTATTCCAAATTTCATGTAAAATTTGAACAATAAATTTCAAACTACATTAAAACAAAATAAAAGTTTTGATATTAATTGAGTTATGTGTAATTGGCATTATTCATAGTCAATTTTATAATTTTCATTAACATTTAAAATGCTCTGTATTAACTTTACATCAAATTTATATATGTAATTAATTTTTATAATTTTCTTTGAAAAAAAAAACATATTATCTACTTTAACTAGAGTACAAGGGTATTTAGAAATAAATTTAATTTATTCCAAATATGGCAAAACAGTTTGCTACCCACAATAATTGGAATGGAGTATTTATATACTTATCATTCTATTCACATGGAAATGCAACAAAATAAAATTAGACATGTTTGCTTAAATTTACATTTTGTTATTAATTACTTCTTTCTGCAGTATTAATATACAGACCAGCAGAATCTTGGTTTCTTTTTTTCTTTTTTTTTTTTTTTAAAAGTAAAGTATTTGATTTTTTTCAATCTTTAATTATTAGAATTTTAAGCAGAAATTGGAATTATGTCTCTAAAAATATGAGGGACAAGGGTGGTTAATCAATACAAAACTTTTGTCGTAAATCTAAATATTAAAATAAAAAATAAATTTAATTTAAAATAAAATGATAATCAAATCAAATCAAATGTATAGTAATTAAATAAAATGAAATGAACATCGCTCACCGATTCCTCTTTTCCTTTTTCTTATAAGAATGGAAATTAGACTTTTTAGGTCAAGACACCCTGATAAGATCATCTCAAATGATTTGCAAGAGATCAGCGAAAGGCTGGTGCTGAAAGTAGAAATCAGAAAAGTTCGAGAAAGCATGGTTCTAGTAGCCTAAATTAGATTGGAGCGAGTGTTGATGTGAAGAAAACTAGATCTTCCTTTTTCCGCCCAAATTAGATGGATAAAATAAAATGATTTAATTGTAATAATTAAATTACATTTAAAATAATTATATTTGTTATAAATTCTCTTTTATTAAGAAATCATTCTGTTAAAACGTATTGAGATCTTCAAATTTCAACTCTTCCATGGAAATCCCGATTTCCTCTCGTCTCTCTAAATCCTTTCCTGCATGCTTCAAATGCCGCAATCTTACTCTTCTCCCCAGTTCTATTGTCCAATTCAAACACTCCCCAGCAAACCTGTTGTCTTCGCGCCAATTTAAACCAACAATCATTATCAGGGCTCAGTGCTCGAGTCAAATAGTAGATGATGGTTTCCTCCTCGAAGACGTTCCTCATTTAACTGATTTCCTCTCAGATTTACTGGTAATTCGCGCCTTTGCTTTTACTTCAATTCTCCTTTTCCTTGCCGAATTTTTTTCTTTCTATTTTGGCGAGAGAATTCTTCATTAGTTTAATTGTGCGTGTTCGATTAAGTTTTCTTCCACGTATCTTATGCTACTGAAACTTGCGCGGTCTATAGTAGGTTAAACTGCAAGTGCCAATTTAATATGACAATGAAGAGCTACCTAATGGTGTTTTAGTGTTCATAAAGATAATGATTGGTAATTCTAATTGGCGCATGGTTTATTAGTATCTATCAAGTGCTGGTAGCATTTTGGCAAAAAGGTTGGATGCTTGCGCTTGAGACCCGAGAAAATTAGAGAATCCTTTTGGTTGAAAATATTGTTGCAGTTTGCATCATGTAGTGTGCGTAGAAAATATCATTTCCTAAAACTTTGTTTTCATTTTCAGCAGGTGCGCATTCTTTTTTCTTGAAAATTGGAAGTAAAAGAAATATTTTCACGTACAAAGCAGGCCTAAGCTCTTTTAATAGTCAATTGAGAGTATATGCTACACATTATTATCTATAAGCATGTATAGAATTTAGAAATTTGAAATTAAAAGAAAATATTATCACCTATAAGTAGTGCCTAAGTTTTTTTAGTAGTCAATAGAGAATATATGTGCAACTTAGTAGTCTTTTGATCAATATGAACCAGAGAGTAACTAAAGGATGAAGTGCACTATCTGATAGATTGTGGAGAACGAAATATTGACAGAAATGTAGAAATCTGCTTAGTGCTTCAAGTAAATTAAAGCACTTGTCTACAAATTAAAAAAAAAAAAGTGTTTCTACATTTAGATAAAGATAATTATTGAAAAAGTATTTATTGTGTGTTTCGAAAAACTGACTATATGGCAATAAATAATTACTGAAACTATTGAGAAAAATAGACACTCTTAAGTCAATCTAAAGAAATCTAGAGGGGAACACCTGCATAAAACCTGTTTATTGGCAAATAACAAGGACTCTGTTTATTGCATTACTAAACATGTAGGCTTGAAGAGAGTGCATAAATTGCTTATAACGAAACAGTAAGTGCCAAAAAGCCTCTGGACATGTGGATATGTGTTTGCAACCTTGGAACAACTTATGGAGCAGAAAATAAGAGGGATGCTTTAGTTTTTAAGTTTTCTTATCAATTTGGTTTTCCTCTTCAGGTTTTCCTGTTTTTGTTGGTTCTCTTATATACTTCTATCATGACAATGAATTATTCTTAATCAGGAAGCAAAGTATATTTAAGTACTTTTAGGTTCTATTTTCTTTTTATTTAGGTTACTTTTCTAGCATTAATACTACCATATTTAGGCCTAGTCTATATTTGAAGGTGAGGAAAAACTTTGTAGTCCCTGGTTTTTATTCAGAATTATCAATTTTCATGCACTCTCAATATTTGCTGCTTCAGTATGCAATATCAAATTAAAAATGCATATTGGTGGGGAAAGCAGTCTTATTTGGTTTGAGAGATTGAAGAATGTAAAAGGGATTTGAAATAATGTGAGCGGAGGTAGTAAAGGGGCATGACTGCTTTTTGGAGAATGGTGACTTTAAGCAAATTCTGAATGCATAAACAATTCATTGAAGTCACCCATCATAAATAGTGGGCTCTGGCTTTATTAGTTGATTTAATAGGCTAGTTCTCTGTCCCTTTGGCTATACATAATTTTCTTCTGTATTTTGGTGTATGCACACTGTCAAACTCAGGTCTTCTTCCTCTTTTTCTTTCAGGCATACCCAAATCCCTTACAAGACAGCCAAGCATATGCTGTTGTTAAGTATGTACTCTTACATGTCTGTGGCGATAACTTATTTGTTGATTAAACTTAAGGCTATATTTGGAAAAAATGAACTTTGTTTGTGGAATTCATTGGAAATCTAACTTATTTTGATTATGAGGTAGTGGAAATTCCTTATAAAATCATCAAAATGAAGCTCTTAAACAATTACATCCGGAATTGAAGGGACTGATGTTTGATATCAGATCAGCCTGTGATGATAATGATTTCCCACAAATACAATCTCAGCCCATAAGTCACACAGAGATTATGGGACAAGCAACAAAGCAATACAAAGTGTGAGATTGCAATACTGTACATGAATCAACTCTCAATCTTTATTTATCTCAAACAAAGAAATATTACATAAGGCAATGTCTACAAGCTGCATAGAAAACCAGCAAAATAACTGCATTCAACTACATTGTCTGAAGCCATACAACCCACATGTGTGTTTAAGCTCATTCAAACGAGTTAGCACTTCTTATTGTAGAGGTGGTTTGTTAGACATTTGATCCTTAAATAAGTTGGTGCCAGGTTTGCACTTTTCTTCATCAACCACACCCTATAAAAGTGACTTGCGGATGAAGAAGTGGGGTGACAACAATGGTTAATTGTCATGCATCTCAGATGGCCTAAGCATGTATAGGTAAATGTGAGTGCTTGTGTCTTGGATTGGCACAAAGATAAGTGATGTTGTGCAGGCAAGAAGTGGTGCCTTGTGTGGAGGAGCTTAGACACACGTGGATTGTGGCGTAGACAATGGCTGTTACTTGTTTGGGTGCTATAATTAGCTCCAGACTTACGGGAATAGCAACTCCTTGCTCAAATATTGATATCTTGATCCACATCCTGATGGCATGTAGAAGTCTTGACATATCATTTATGGTTAGGGGTGCGAGCTTACCATTATGGCCGGATTTCTTATTTAGATTTTGACATATAGAGTGATGCAGAGGGGAAGAAACTTTCTTGTTCAAATGTCCTTGTCCTGATCCACATCCTGATGGCATGTAGTAGTCATGATATTTCTTTGAAGGGGTTGGGGGTTTTAACCGGTTTAGGTGGTACCTTGCTATCGTAGCCAGATTTTTTATTTATATCTTGACATTTGTTAAGCGAGGCAAAAAGAGTGAGATCTGCAAGAGCAAGTTTCTCGGTGGCTTGCTGATTTTTCCTTGTGTAATGTTCATTTCTTTGATATGAATAAATGTTGAGAGTTGATTCCTTTACATTGCTGAGCAATCTCATATTTTTCAGTTGTTCTGTTGCTTAGCCCATAATATGTTTGTGCAAATTATTTAGGAGACATAGTTTGTGGGAAACTAGTGCCATCACAGATTTGTTTGTTAGTATTTTGATGAAATGTAAAATAAATTGCATCAATTCCACTGGGAATTGTCTAAGTGCTCATTTTTATTGTTTTTACAAGGGATCTCGAACTTCTCATAGTAGAAATAAGTAGGAATTTCCAAACGAATTCCAAAAATAGAGATCATTTGTTTTTTTTTTAAATATAAAAATAGATATAATTTGTTACATTTATAGTCTAAAATTTCCTTCTGTTATGGGCTCCTGGCCATGGATGTCATTTGTTGGTTCTTATATATCTACTTATTGTCTTTTGTAGGCAAACTTTTGTTTGCCCAGAAGATGTGGTTGCTCAAAAGGTAAGTCAAATTAATTTTTAGCCAAATTTTGATATGATATGTTTATATATTCACAATTATAGGACCTGCAATGTGTTCTGTCATGTTCTGTGCGCTTCTCTTTCTCTCGCTCTATATATGTATATCTACATATATATAGACATTGATACCATACATAGATCTATATAGAGACAGATATGTGTGCATGTACACAGACATGAGCGTTACTCGTATTTTCTTTCCTTCAGATTGTTGTACAGAAAGATAGTCCTAGAGGAGTGCATTTTCGGCGTGCTGGTCCTCGTGAAAAAGTACGATTCTTATTAACATCTAGATGCTCTTGTTGAACAGGGTGACAGAAGCTAATTTAATGTACTCTCTGGTGGTAGGTCTATTTCAAATCAGATGAAGTGCGAGCTTGTGTAGTAACATGTGGGGGTCTCTGCCCAGGGATTAACACAGTCATTCGGGAGATAGTATGTGGCTTGAACTCCATGTATGGTGTTGATGACATACTTGGAATTGAGGTCTGCTCTACATATTTTCTTTACTGATGACTTTTTTTTTTAAAAAAGAATTGTTTGTTTTATCTAATGCACATTTTATTTTCAATTCTTTATCCAAATTTCTAGATAATATAACTAAACCAACATACTACTTTCTAGTCCATAGTGTGGTGTGTCAGCAAAAGCGTAAACAAACTTTGGATTTCTGCTTTCAAGCGCCTCTAAATCCCAAATCGTTAACACTTTAGTGATTCCCCAAAATATTCTCCAGACATTCATATGGCATCCTTATTGAACAGGAAAAGCTAATGGATTCAAATGTTAGACTCAGAACTTTCCATTTAGACTTTCAGAAGTTAGCAGTGCACTTTT